TGATGCACGGAACTGCGTCTGTGGATCATACATCCAACGCTTAGAGCAGGCCACTGGTGTCTTAGGTGCCAGACGATAACATTGCTTGTGCAGTAAGGAAAGAGAAGATAATTACAGCTTCAAATTCATTAGCATGTTTCTGATATTCATTCAAAGGTCTTTGTAAGGAAGTGAGATGATGGAGCTCTCCTGCCTCTGTTCTGTGATGACTGGATCAGGGTAGACTGAGTGAGTTGGTGTTCTCCAGTCACCAAATGAGCAGCTCAGTTTGCCTCACCAAATTGTCACCCTCTTCATATTAATATGAATCAAGGAAAAAAGTCTCTTCTTGCAACTTTCCCATCTTCTGTTATGTAGTGTATTAGTCATCTTGGGCTGCCATAAGAAAATACCATAGGTGGGGTGACTCAAACAACAGAAATTTATTTCCTCACAGTCTGGATCTGGGAAGTCCAAGGTCGAGGCGCCAGCCAGTTCAGTTCTGGTGAGGGCTTTCTTCCTGGCTTGCAGACAGCTGCTTTCCCAGTATTCTCATGTGGTGGAGAAAGAGAGAGCTCTCCGGTATCTCTTCTTCAAAGGGTACTAATCCCATCATAAGGGTCCCACCTTCATGACCTTAACTAAACCTAATTATTCCCAAAGACTCCCATCTCCAAATATTATCACATTGGGGTTAGGGTTTCAACACATAAATTGAGGGGCAGGAGTAGAATACAATTCAGTTCATTACACATGGCTTAGTAAAATGTTTGCACAGAGAGTCATTCGTTCACTCATTTAATAGCAAATTTAGCAAATCCTTACTATTTTGAAATAATTTCAAAATGATCATTAAAAAATTATTTCTCACCAAGGATCAGTGCTCTTCTTTATGGCCTTTTTTCAGAAAATGTTATCCATTCTGGTTTACCGGTGGTGTCAGATTTCCATGTACTTTATTTTATATTTCATTCCTTGATTGGGGCATGTTGGAAAGAAAAATGCCAATACACATGCAGTATTCTTATAACCTCAAAACAAGAGAGTTTTTAGAAGGATAAGCTTATTTCCAGGACTTTACAGGAATACTAGCCCACCCCTTTGCACTTTCTCTGTAGTCCTGAGGAATTCATTGTCCTCAAGTCAAACCTTGATATGTACGAAGGTTGATCGGGTCCGTCTTGTGTAGCTGCCATGTTCCCATTTGCCTGTTGGCAAGTAGAGCATGTCTCTGGTACCTTAGACAGACTGACTTTATAAAGATGTAGTCCATGGACCACCTTCATTCGTTTGACTTTCAACATTTGCTTGCTTTCTTTCTTTCCCAATTTTGCATTTAAGTGCTTTTACACTGAAATTGTCAAATCACGTTTTTTGTCCTTCTTGATTAGTAGTCCTAAAAATGGATAAAATGTCCTTGGTTTTCTTAACTGTGTTACTCACTTGGTAATCTACTTTCTCTAGGTCTCTGAGAGCTATTTTTATTTATTTTTTCATTTTTTTATTGGAGGCAGAGTCTCCCTCTGTCACCCAGGCTAAAGTGCAATGGCAACATTATAGCTCACTGCAACCTCGAACTCCTAGGCTCAAGCTATCCTCCTACCTTAGCCTCCCTAGTAGCTGGGACTACAGGTGTACACGACCATGCCTGGCTGATTTTCTTCTGTTTTTAGTAGAGATGGGGTCTTGCTGCTGCTCAGGCTGGTCTCGAACTCCTGAGCTCAAGGAATCTTCCTGCCTTGGCCTTCCAGAGTGTGAGGATTATAGGAATGAGCCACCACACCCAGCTTCTAAGAGCTATTTTAATAGTTCATGTCTAAGGTTGTTTTACTATCCTTATTTTAGTCTTTGGAATTCTTCAAAGAATTCCAAAGTGTAAAAAGATTAGTGTGGCCAATATTTTTGAATGGATAAACATATTTTAATTATACAATAAATAGATTATATTCATTCGTGCTTGAATGAATGAAAAACAGTCACTTTTTCTTTAAGGATTGTTGAGTACAATGTTTTCTGTAATTTGCTCACAGGACTGCTGAGATTTTGTAAATAGAAGGAAGAAGCCCAAGGGAAAACTTTTAGATCTCCAGCTACCTTTGCATATGGTACTAAAGATTTTAAAAGATAAATGTGATAGACTATATTTAGTTTTAATAACTCAAGTTATTGGAGGACCTTAAAAAGTAAGCCTTTTACAAATAAAAACATTATTTATTTTAGAAGAAGATACCTCCTAAAGTTAATTGAATGTGGCACTTGCTCAAGTAACTCCAAGACTTGAATTAAAAATTTATATTACCTTCCTCTAAACTGAGTCTGAGAAGTCACATAACAGGAGTTTGCTAACATTTTTTTGACTCTTTAGACTATCAAAAGCCTTTTTATATACATTGTCTTATTTGTTCCTCAAAACAATTTCATAAAGTTGAATGGGTAATAGTAATATTCTCATTTGAAAAATAATTTGCTAATAGGGTACAGTTGGTAAGTGACAGAATTAGTATTTCATTCTGTCTTTAGCGTTTTTGCTTTTCATTATGAAGAATTGTAAATGTGTAGTAACAGAATTATTTGGTAAATTATTTGGTAAATTCCCATATAAGCAATTGTTAGTTGCTTACATTTGGCACTTTTGTTTTATATTTCTTTTTTAATTTTTTTTGCTGTAGTATATTCAAAGCAATCCTAGACATTCGACTTTTACCCATGAATATGTCAGTGATTATATATCTCTTAAAAAGAACATTAATAATCACAATGCCATTATCACACCCCCCAAAATTGCCAGTAGTTCCGTAATATCACCAAATACCCAATTCTTATTCAAATTTCTCTGATTTTCCCCAAAGTGATTTTTTACAGTTGGTCTGTTTTTGAGTCAGGATCTAAAATAAGACTCACACATGGCATTAGTGGTTGTGTCTCTTAACTCACTTTTCTCTAGAGCAGAACCTCCCACCCCACCTTTCCTTCCAGTGATTTGCTGAGGAGACCAGCAGGCAAGCCTTACATTTTTAATCCAATGTTCCTTCCATTATTTTAGGCCGCCTCAAATGTAAATTTTAAATCTAAATAAATAAATAAAATAGAATCAAATAATAAATAGAAGACAATTTTATTTTATAACATAAAAATAGAACTTTTTTATTTAAAGAAGAGGTTCACTGAATATTATAACTGACATGTTGTAACAGCTAATTTCATAAACAACTTTAACATCAAAGCATCCAAAATAGTTGTTTTTGTTACTTTTATGCCTGTTTAACATTTTAGTTAAATATAGTCAATAATGAGGATGGTCAAGTAAAGACATCCTCATCTTTGCCAATAACAAAAGTTTAGTCTAGTTTTTCTCTTCAGCTGATTAGAGAATACAAATGGTAAATCTTAATTCTGTTACATGTTCTGTTGTATATATCAGGAAGCTCTCAAACATTTGTTGCTTGCAAATACTTCATCATCTTTATTGCTCTTATCAAGGAACAACTATTAAATATTTGTTATATAGTATCAGCGATAATAGTAACAATTTCTTTAAAAAAATTATGTTCTAGCTTTGTGTATCTCTCATACTCTATAATTTATCTCAGTGTTTTACAACACATACTCTGCAATGGACTGGCAGACTAGTTAAATTCCCAACTTCGAGAAATGGCAACAAGAAAGAATAGGGGAGAGGGTAGGAAGAGCTGAGAGTTGTGTTAGCCAAGGGCAGTGGAGATTGGAGCAGTCTCAGAACTGATACCCTTTAGCTTATGGCCGGTGGCCTGGCCCAGCAGGAAGGGAGATATGCCAGGTCGATACCACCTCTGGGTCAGCTGGGAAGCATGAACATTTTTTCTTACCATCTTCTGCACTGAGAGACATTAGTCATCCCACGAGGATGTGTCACTGTTGTTTTGCAAACCAGTCTTGGCAGAAAGACAGACTTTAATCTTTTGAATACACCCACCTACCTTTTTCATCTCTGTACTTACAAGGCCTTGCGAGTTGTCTTTCAAGGAAGTGTATCAAGAGAAAAATAATGCTGTATCTGGGTGTCGTGAGTTAGCCACTTTAAATCTTCATTGCTTCATCTAGATGTTTCCCTCGGTGGGCTGGCTTCCGCAGAGCCTCCCTTCGGGAGAAGGGGCTGGGTGAGCGTGGGCGCAGGCTCCCCAGGACCGCGCTGCACTGTCTGTCTGTTGTTCGGCGTTCACCGAGGGATTTCAGGATAAAGCATAGGAATCTACTGGGTGAAAGTAATTCCCTGGCTTTTCCTAATGGTGTGCAGAGTTCTGGTTCCCTAAGGCACAGTATTATTTCCAGAGGTTTTTGTTTGTTTGTTTGTTTTTTGGTTTTCATAACTAGTTTATCTTTCCTCAGAATACAGTAAATGAAAGAAGTAAGATGAAACTGCAAAAATGCTTTTTAAAAGCTTCTCAAAAAATAAAATTACTTAAACATAAAATAATTAAATATTTGGCTCTTCTGACATCTGTTGGTTACAGTACATTCTTTAATGTATGACTATAATCAAGTTATAACTAATTGTGTCCTTATATTTCAAAGACAGGTACTTCTCTGTCCCCTCCCATCCCAAAAGAATAACTGCAAAGTAAGAAAAATTGATAAAAGACGCTTGTCATTCCTGGGAAAGGATATTTACATAATAGTGTATCTCAGCCCGTATTGAAATGCATTGTTTATGTCCCTTTTCTTTGGCATGTATCTAGTATTAAGAAAATACAGTGTGGTAGCTGTTTGTATACAGAATACTATCAGGCTGAACTGGTAAAATCTCACTTGGTAACAACCTAAGTAATTGCCTATTTTCATGTTTTACAACCTCACCCCCTGTGCAAGAGCAGGCCTCACTTTTAAGAGCCTGATCATGTCACACAATCTTGACAGAAGTAACTATATCGATGGTTCAGGAAATTCAAACGGCCCTTTCTTTATTCTGCTAAGGGCATTACCAAGAGAAGCACAAGGAGATTTATTTCAAGAGTTATTGATTCATGCTTCCCATTTTGTTTCAGGTGGATCATCCATGCTATGGAGTATGAACTACAGATCCGCAGTGGAAACAAGCCAACCATGGACTTGTACCAGTTGTCACCTAGCGAAGTTAAGCAGCTTCTGTTGGATATCCTCCAGCCTCAACAGAATGGCAGGTAACGAGGGCCCTTGGTTACCTCCACAACACTGGACTTACAGTAACATAATCGTTAGGTTAGCATATCTACGAAATGTATACGATATTAATAAGAAATAAAATGCAGCAGAGTGTCAGAGGCCACTCTAATAGATGGATGGTGTAAACAGACTAATTAAAATGTCTGTCTTCAATTGTTCTTTGTGTTGATTTGAATTTTACACTTTTTTCAGGTATAGTTTATAAGCATTTCTTCATTTTTATTATTCTTTGCAAAATGGAACACTTTATACCACCTTAGTCAATTCCCTTTCTGAACCTTTTTAGCACTCAGCATCTCCTCTCAACATTTTGGCAGAAGGGACTGGGTTTGGTAATGTTATTTAAATATGTTGCCTGTGATTTTGTCTCCCTAACTAGACTTCAAGTCTAAACCCTTTCACAGTCTTAATTTGTGCTGATCTTAGACTAAGAGGAAAATAAATGCTGTGGGTTGCATTGAATTAAGAATTTTTTTTATTACAGAAAGAGCTTTAATATAGTAGGCAAGTATTTATTGACACATTTGTGCCTGACATTTTCCAAGGTGGTATAGTTATATGCCTAGAAAATTCTAGATTTGAACAAATGGAAAGGCATCTTTGTTCTTAAATAGGAACACTCACTGTTATAAAGATGTCATTTGTAAATTTAATCAATTCCAGTAACATTTCAATAAGCTGTTTTATGAAATTAGTTAAGTTAATACTAAACTTCATGTGGAAAAACAAACGTGCAAGAATAACCAGAACAGCGTAAAAGAAGGACTTGTCCTAATAGATATTAAAACATACTACAAAGCCTCTATAATAAAAACAGTGTGGTTGGTGCATGAACAAACACACCAGTGGAACACAATAGAAGATCCAGAAATAGACCCCCAAGTACATATGGAAATTTAGTATATGGTAAGATCAAGTATGGACTTTTGAAATAAATAGCAAAAGAACAACTGGATAGCCATTTGGAAAAAGATAAAACCAAACCCATACTTTATACTATACACAAGAATAAACTCCAAATAGAGATCTAAATGAAAAAATTAAATCATACAAGAAAAGAAGACACGGGTAAATTCCTTTTTAGCTTTAGCATGGGAAACGCTTTCTAACTATGACAACCCAAGGACAGCAAAAGAAAAGATTAATAAGGGTATATAAAAATTAAAAAGAACATCTTGCAAGGCAGAAAAGAGATGACCAATGTCAAAAGACAACTGAGAAACTGGAACAAAACATGTGCCACAAAGAGCTATTATAATAGCCTAGAATTCTTAAAAATTGAGGGATAGAACTAAAAACCCAAGGGAAAAATGGGGAAGAAACATGATTAATCACCTTATTTAAAATATATAAAAAAGACCTTCAGATATTTGAAAAAATGTTCAACATAACTCATAATTAGAGAAATGTAAATTAAAGCATGTTGAACCGTTTCTCATGTTTCAGACTAGCACAAGTCAAAAGGTCTGATAAACAACTGGTGAGGCTGCGGGAACCAGACACCCCAGCCCTTCTGGTTGGGAATGAGACACCATCTCACAAAGGATCAAAATTTGTGCTCATCCTTTGACCCAGCATTCCTATTAATGCTTTCAGGAATCTGCTCTGAGGCTATGCCTCCAGCAGTTTGAAAATGTGAATGCACAAGGTGACTCGTTGCAGCAGTGTTTGTATTTGAAAGTTTCAGAATTCCCATAACCTAAATGCCCATCCACAGGAGACTGTGTGAATAAACTGTGGTACAGCCACGCTGCAGGCCACGCTGCAGACCCCGTGCGGCTGTGCGGAAGAACGAGCGCGGTCTCGGTGAGCGGACGCGCGGGGCTTCCTGGGATACGTGGGTGAGAGGACGCAGGCGCAGCAGGGGCGGCCGGACGCCTACACCGTCGCTATGCCTCCGACATCGCAGACATGAATGATGAATTACAGTAAACCAGATGTGGAGGGAACACAAAGTAGAACACCAAGAGTGAAAAATGAACCTGTTTTACAAATGAGTAATATTTCCACACGGAGAGGGTGGGAAGAAAGGAATTAACTGATGTACCTTTGGAAACACCGCTTCGACCGGATACTGTAAGGCTAAAGAAAAAAAGAACTGTGCACGAATATTACACTCTAGTTAGTACATTTCTCTCACAGATGTACGAATTAGCAATTCTGAATTACGTTACATAAACACTAGGACTGAATCAACAAGTAAATACACTGTGCGTAACGAGAGCCGGATTCTGCCGGAGAAAGTCGCCACGCATAAGGCCGGGGGCTGGGAGGGGGCGGGGCCGCGGGGCTGGAATTGAGTCCGCTGTGAGTCCGTGGTTTCCACGCAGAGGACAGGTACAGAAATAGATGCGGGTATGTGTGTGTGCACGTGCATGTACATCCACGGTGCCCTAGCTCTGCCCATCGAGATGACCTGGAGGCAATGAAACCACAACCACGTGAGCAAAGCTCACAGCCGGATGCTGGTTTATAAATACCATTCCCCAATAAAAAGAACCACTATCCCTTGGAGGAATGACTGATTCCAGGGCTGAGCAAGAAAATGCAGGATGAGCCTGGAGCATCTCGTACCAGAAAGTAAGGAAGTGCTCAAAATATGATAAGAGGTGTGTCAGAAAGAGTGGAGACAATTTGAAGGAGCCCCAATAGCCAAAACTGAGACAATTTGAACAAAAAAATAATGATAGTATTGTGTTATGTTATACCCCATAGAATAAATATCCATGAGTCCATGGGGATATAAATAGGTAACTAGGGAGAAAGGACTCTTCCTTATAGTAGAATTCCAATTAATAAGTGTGGGTAGAATGATGGAAATAGAAAAATCATCATTAAACAAATATAAAACAGTAGTAATTTTTGCAGTCAAGAACCCATCATTGGATGGAAATATGATGAGAAATGGAAAATTTGCATAATTCCAAGGTATTTCCACTCAAGATACTTACTAATTGCAAAGAAAAAAATAGTAACCTTACCAGTAGAAAAACCCAGCTGACTCCACTTTTACCAAATGTTTAAGGTTAACATCACCAGTAATAAAACACATTAACTTCATGTATCCCCTGATATGATGCATTGAAAAGGGCCAAAACTTCTGGATATTCCTGCTGAAAATGCATAATCACAGCCTATTCATCAGAAAACATCAGACCAACCCAAAATGAGGGACATCCTACAAAATAGCTGACATTTCTAAAGTGTCAAAGTTATAGAAGACAAGGAAGATGTCACAGATTAGAGGAGCGTCAGGAGGCATGGAAACTAAATTTCGTGTGGGATCCCCGATTGGATCCTGGATCAAAACAAGACCATTAGTGGTACATTTGGCAAAGCTTGAATGAGGTCCATATATTAATTGATAGTATGTCAATGTTAATTTCCTGGTTTCGATATTATACTATGGTTGTATAAGATAACAAAAGTAGGGGAAACCAAGTAAAGACTACACAAGAATATTGTGAATTATAGTTGTGACTTTTCTGTAAGCCTAAAATTTTTCAAAATAAAAAAGCAAAAAATAAAATTAAAAAAGGAGACTTCCAAAATAATTTTCTACCTCCATTGTGAATATTCTCACATTTCTACTTTTTCTTGTGGTTCTGAACAAACATCTTCTCTTTAACATATTAACCATGACTTCACAGAGCTCTGAAAATACCCTGTTTTATTGCCAAACAAAGGGGGGGGGAGGGGAAATTCAATGCAGAGTGTGGGGTATTTATTTATCTGAACTAAAACCTCACCAAGGAACCCCTGGACCTTTGAGCTGCTTCACTTTAGTGAAACACTGAACCCGACAATGCAAGGCTGGGTCTATTAAAAGAAATTTTGTACATCCCAAAAAGATGCCTTTCTCAATCAGGTAGTGATAAAACTTCACTGGTCCTCTTTAGCCAGAACAAAAGTGTCTTTCTCTGTTTACCGTATCCTGCACGGCCTTTGTCATGCCTGGGAACAGCGTTGATCGCTCGCGATCTGCCTCCCTGGTGACTGGGTCTGCATTTCGCCCTGCTGCCTCTTTAAATACCAGGGATAAAAAACGCGCATGTGTTTTTGTCTTCAGCTTTTGCAGAAATATACTACTATGTCACTATGTGTTTTTTCAAATTATACAAATTCTACATCTTTAGCACTTTGTGAATGACATATCTTTAAGATTTAATATTAATACTAATCCATGAAAATAAGAGATCTAGAATTTTGGCTTATCATTACATTCTATTATTATGACATGTAAGATTTTGTATCTGATTTTTCAGCACTGGAACTTTAGCCATATTTAAATAGCAAATTTTTATAAAGTTTAAAATATGGTAATTCATTATAATCAATGCTTTTTTGAGCATTCACTTATTCATTTATCAAATGTTTATTAGACACCTTTCTGGGAGAGATGAATAGGAATGACCAAGTTATGTGATTTCTATGTCTTCATGGAGCTTACCTTTTATTATATGTAAAAACCACAGAAAGGTATTGCGAAATTGGCTGTTTTTAAATGAAGCTGCTTTGTGTATTAGAAAATCACTTGCTCATGTAGTGAGCAATTCATAGCTTACTAGAGAGTAACATTTTGCCTTTTAAATTTTTTAGGATCTTGGAGATTTCCTCGTCTCCTGAAAGCTCTGTTTTCTCTATGAAATATTTACTGACCTCTGTAACACATGGTAGATATGCATCATTGATAGGTTTTGGCTTTTATTGCTTACCCTATTGGAACAATTAATCCATATTGAAAGCCCTGCTTTCTACCAGAACAAGCTAGTTTTTCACTCTAAGGCACTTTCCTTTGGTTTACAGATGTTGGCTGAACAGGCGTCAGATCGATGGGTCTTTGAATAGAACCCCCCCGGGGTTCTATGACCGAGTGTGGCAGATCCTGGAGCGCACACCCAATGGCATCGTGGTGGCTGGGAAGCATCTGCCACAGGTAAAGCGCCGTCGTGTTTTTATAAGGAAAAGGGACTTCTAAGGGGACCCACCGGAGTAGAGAAGTCTTTCCTTCTCTGCGCCGCAGATAACTTTTCTGCTTTTCCGTATTCTAAGGGTGTTTTTAAAGGAGGGGTATCCAGATACCCAAAGGCATAAAGTACTAGAAAATAAGAAGTTTAATCAGTTGTATTGGAAATATTTTTCCTCAATCTGAGTTCCTTTTATTTTTCAATTTTAATATCCCTATATACAAAAAAAGCTTTTTCTCCCAGATGGATATATTGCTGAAAAGTTGTATGTAATCAAAATTTTTTTGTACCATCATATTTCAGATGTTTTAAGGAAGCTCTCTTTAAAGGAACTGCATGGCCAAACCTCTTGCTGAACAAGCTGTCCTTCCTTTGTTTACTTGTAGTGAGCACAGGGTTTCTTATCCTGGCTTGACTCTAAGTGGGGGTATCCCTTTAAATTTGAGTTTATTTTCTGTTTTCCTTTGGCTCGTGAAAAGTGAATGGAAGACTGTACAGTACTCTTGTTTTAAATGAAAGATAAACAACAGAGTAAATTCTTTTAGTTTTGCCTTTTTTCTATTTCCTTGCCATTTCTGCACATAATGCTGTTTTTTCCTGTTTGTATGCATTTTTATGCTGCCAGCTCAGAAAGGACGTGCCTCAGAAATGATGTAAATTCAGTAACAAGTGACTGACATGCTACAGCGTGACAGCAAGCATAACTTCTTGTGTGAATTCCGAAAGCAATACGTACTCTATTTGTTGTCTCAGTTTTTGGCTGTTCCTTTTGTGTATTGAAGTGGCTTTCTAATATGCTCCTTTTCCCCTAAAACATTAATATAGTGAAGATAACTACGAAAAATGAGAGGTGTAATTTAGCACAATAGCTGGTGGGCTTTAGTAGTTTGACATACATAAAATCCGGTTGTATAGCTGAAAGTGCTCTCTGAGGTTTTATAGAAACTGAAAAAGATTATCGATTAGAAAATGAAATTCCTCTATTAAATGAGAACTACAATATAACAGTTCAGCATGTTAATGTGGAGTTATTTTTTTCAGCAACCAACCCTGTCAGATATGACCATGTATGAGATGAATTTCTCTCTCCTTGTTGAAGACACATTGGGAAATATTGACCAGCCAAAGTACAGACAGATCGTCGTGGAGGTTCGTATTAAAATTGCTAAAGAAAGGCTCTCTATTTGCTCCCTGAAAACTAGTATAAGGGAAACTACCTAAGAGACCAAGAATTCTATTCCTCAGCTAACCATGATCTCCGCCAATGGAGTGGTCAAGAAGATGGCCATCCTTGACCCCACAAGGCACATGACCAGTTCACATACCCGAAACTCCTCCAGGGTGGAAAACTGACAGCCCACCTTTCCAGCTACATTCTCGCCCTCAACAGCAAGTACATCAGCAATATCATAAAAATAGAGGAGGTGACCTTTTCCCATTCATTTTGTTTTCAGTTTTTTCTATTTATAGAAATAACACACAACTATTGTAGAAAGTTTCGACAATTCAGGAAATTATAGAAAAGAAAACAAAAATTCCTCCTACGCCCACTAGCAAGGGATCATCACTATTAATATTTCGAGGGACATCTTTTCAAACATCTCTATATGAAGAGAAGACACATAATTGTGTGCTGTGTCATCATTGCTCCATATAAAACTAAATGCTGAAATAGAAATATGCACATACGTACCCTTTTGTCACATTAAAACATTGTGCCAAATACATAGAGAATCTACCAAATGATGGGTATGATCTATAGCTCATCCTCACTTTGTCTCTTTCTCTGGAAATGTCTCCATCAGACTTTGTGTTTCTCGAGGGTAGATAATTCGTCTCACTGAGACAGAAGCTGTCAGGGAGTGCTAACTGGACGTGGCGCTAAAATGCTCTTTAAATCCAGCATTTCTGGAGCTGCAGTCAGAGCTGAGCGAAAGTCGCCCTTGCCTCTCATGTCCCAGCTACGAACAGTAGCAGGCAGTCAGTTTCACAGCATGTGGGAGTGAGGCAGAGACTAGGTTTCCAGAAAACCTGGGGTTATTAGAGGGGTGAATGCCTTCCTGTGCTGTTACCTTAACCTTACGCGTCGAGTACCCAGCATCTGGGACATACAGTGGACATAGAGGTCCTTCTTGTCGACCAAAGTGAGATCGCTCCCTTTGCAGAAGCAATTGTCCTTTACATCTATGGTATAATAAAACTTTGTATTCTCCTGGCTAGAGCCGTACCCCAAAGGTCTCCCACATTGTGACCTCTTGATTTTACTGAAAGTGTTTCCTTTGGTGCTTTCAGGTTCTGTTTTGGAAGCCTTTAGATAAAGTATAGTCAGCAAGATGCCCAAATTGGGCAGTATGAGGTCTATTTCCTATTCGGCGTGCTGAGTAGGACCCATAAACATCACAGAATGCCTTCGCCAGTAATTGTATACTCAGACACGATCTTTGCATCTAAAATGAATTTGGCATCCAGAGTGAACTTTACCACTTAGGGTAAGTGTGTGGATGGCCAGACAAGAGGGTGATGCATTAAACTAAAAGAGTTTATACATACCAAATAGTATTCCTGTCATAGAGGTCAACAGTTAAGTGTTGTTGTTTAAAACATAGCCACCTCCTGAGCAACTTCTGTGGCATTACAGACTTAAACTCGTTTTGGGGTGCTGGGCTCCAAGTCGTTTGATTATGGATCTAGATCCAGAGTCTCCACTGAACTCACTTGCATTCCCTGGCTTTGTTCCCTGCCACCTCTTCTCTGGCCACCCTGCTCCACTGGACACTTTTTGGTGTCTTGCTAGCAAGGACTAATGCCCAAAGAACACTTTGGGTGAATAGGGCACTGTGTACTAGATATGAGGTTAGGAAAGTCATTTTTGTAAGTTACTGGTTTTATTTAAGTGACTAAAAAACATTTCTATACAACTACAAGGATACACACAATGAAAAGATTATGCAGCTTCCAAACAGAACTTATGCGGCTAATTTGCAAAATTAGGTGGTTTCCACCCTAGGTGATCTTTAAGTCTCTCGTGCAGAACATACTGCGGAATGCTGGGCGATCCCTCTACTGGCTTGGAGAAGGAAAACATGTCCAGAGTGTGTCGTTGTTACGGCTCATGTAACTGGCTTTGTCTCTTGTAGTTACTAATGGTTGTATCCATCGTACTGGAAAGAAACCCTGAGCTGGAATTTCAAGACAAAGTAGATCTAGACAGACTGGTGAAAGACGCATTTCATGAATTTCAAAAAGATGAGAGTCGGCCAAAGGAAATTGAAAAACAAGTAAGTAGAAAAAACAACTTTTTGTAGAATTGTTTTCATTGTCTTAATTCTTCAAAATATCCCTAATCTCTTATCATTTAATTTACAAAACAGATTCACAGAGTGCAAAATACTTGAGGGGCAATCGGACTTATTTGAGAAATTAATGTTACTTTTTAGTTAATTACTAGTTAATTTAGCCATGAAGTTCTGACAAAAAAAGAAATCTAGGAAAAAATAAATTTGCTTTATATAGTTAGCAGCTAAAGTGTTTTATCAGGGAGGAGCCATAGATTCCAGAAGGCTATAAAATTAAATTCTGGGGAATCCAGGAGGCTACGTGGGTGCTGTTACCGCCCAGCACAATCCCTTCCAGGCTCTCTGTTTAATATTTTATGCTCTTCTGAAAAAAAGGTTCTCAAAGTAAATAAAAATTATCAGCAAAGAGGAGAATACTAAAAATGTCTGTCTTTGTTTTATGTGCTGAGAAGATGCCTCAGGGAAATGAAAGAAAAGCTCAGGAAACTCATATTTTCCATGAAGAAATCTTTCTGTGAATTTATTTTTCCCCCTAGGCTGACACTGTCACTCTGTCAACTCTTTACAAACAAAAAGTCAAATGACTTGCTTACCATTTTCCTTTGTAGGATGACATGACTTCCTTTTACAATACTCCCCCACTGGGAAAAAGAGGAACATGCAGCTATTTGACAAAGGTTGTGATGAATTTGCTGTTGGAAGGAGAAGTCAAGCCAAGCAACGATGACCCATGTCTGGTTAGCTAGCGAGGAAGGTGTAGGAGGCTCTGTGGAGACACATGTTCTGGAAGTGTGTTATGTTTTGCGTTGAAGCTTAATCAAGGCAGCCATTCATACATGAACTGATCATGCTGGTTAGGTGACTGCCACACCCTTAGCAGAGTTATTGGACCTCTTGCATGACATAGCCAATCTAATGGTAATGGTAAATGCTTTTAATCAAGTGAAAAAAAGTTCCTGTGAGGATGCCAACTACAATAATAATCTTCACTGAATGACAGAAATAGTTTATGAATTGAAAATTTACCGATGCATGTTTTATGACGAAATAGCTCATCAAAATGAATCTTTGCTCTTTGGACTCTGAATTCTTACCTTACTGCCATTAAAATGAATTTGCCAACAAGTAATGCATACTAGGAATCAAAAGGTATTGAAAGAATGGTAAACATTTTTTAGTGGCATTGTCATGCTGGAAGAAGATGTTAATATACATCATAAAAGCAAAATCAGCCAGCTGATACTTTGATTCTCAGAAACTGCATTATTAATAATATTTTAGTTACAGAGCTGTTGTACAATTTTTACCTTGTAAACATGACTATGGCTTTGTATTTATGCTAACTATAGGGGTTGAACTATAATATAATAAATCTGTACCTTATCAAACATTTTCTTTGAGCTCCTGCTAAAGATAGGACATGTGTAGGATTGTTCAAAGCATGTTAACCTGGTGTGTACTAGTAAAAACAAAATTAAGTCATTAAATTTTATTTCTGAATTAATGAATGTGTCTGGAAACAGTCTTTGCTCCCAGGCTCACAAGATCAAGTTTAGTATTTTCATTTAATTGATTTGGAGATAGAATGGAAGAGAATCTACAGCACCCAACATTATACATATTTTTCTGCCAACCTTACTTAAACTTTAATAAAAATAGAAAGTAGAAAAGAACCCAACTGCCCATAAATAAAGTACCCGAGTGCCCATCAATCCATGAGTGGATTAATTAAATGTGGTACATGTATACCATGGAGTACTATTCAGCTTTAAGAAACAATGGTGATCTAGCACCTCTTGTATTACCCTTGATAGAGCTGGAGCCCATTCTACTAGGTGAAGTATCCCAAGAATGGAAAAACAAGCACCACATGTACTCACCATCAAATTGGTATTAACTGATCAACACTTAAGTGCACATATAGTAGTAACATTCATTGGATGGCAGGCAGGTGGGAGGGGGGAGGAGGGGACGGGTATGTTCACACCTGATGGGTGCGGTGCGCACCATCTGGGGGATGGACACACTCGAAGCTCTGACTTGGGTGGGGCAAAGGTAATATATTTAACCTAAACATTTGTACCCCAATAACATGCTGAAATTTAAAAAAAAAATTAAAGAAAAAGAAAGTAAATTAAACATTCAAATTTTATGAATTTGTTTCCCTCCTAAATGTTACATTGCAGCCCATTAGTTTGAGTCCTGGCCCCAAAGAAAGTTATTTTTCTAGTCAGTCGTACTGGAGTTTCACCTCAGAAGACAGACTTGTCACATAAAGAAAACAGTCCATCTATAGAGTCGTGAAAGGACCTAAGAAAGGACAAGTGGCTGCAGTGGCAAGTCAATCGGCGAGCACGCGGGAGTATCTGCCCTCAGTACGGTTCTCGTCACTTTGAGGCGCAGTCCCTAGAGCCCGCATGGGAAATTGTATGTGTATTAGTTAGCAAAATTTAGAATAATGAGATAAAATCTGACCTTGTGGAATATCTTAGGGAGAGGGATATGAGAAAGAGGAGAATTAAATTACTTGACTCGGTGTATTAAGAAAATTTATAAAAAGATAGTCCTGAATGATGAAGTTATAAAACTTAAACATGACAAAAACTTAAGGATGAAGCCCATGGAGAGAGAATTGAGGACCGACACTTCATAGCTGGGAAAACTGGAAATTAAAGAAAGAAAAAAAAAACCTTGAGATATTTAATGTTTGCTAAAATTTGAAGGAAAGTAAACTGTGTTGTATTTTTAAGAATTAAAAAAAAATCTGATTAGCTGAGCAAAGTTGCCAGAAAACTGCTGTCTTAGTCGAAATCAAAGCTCATTTGCAAATGTATGTTTCCTGAATGAGTGTCAGCTTCCTGCTCAAATATTACATACGCAAAATTCTGACGTTCTCCTACTCCACTGAAAGCGTTTAGAATCTGTGACATATGTACTGATTTTGTGCTTTAATGACATTCAAAATTTATTGTTCTGAAAGATATATTTGGAATCAGTAAATCTTGATGTTCACCTCTACAGAAGCCAATATCTGTTTTCAAATTAGCAAAGCAAAAAATACTAAGAATTAGAACGCAGAACTCATGAAATTGAGAAAGCCCATTTGGTCTATGGAGCCCAAATGTTTTAACAGCTGCACTAGAGACTGTCAGAAAATATTGGCACATTATTTAGGTATGACAAGATTTAAGTCTGATCTAAGCCTCCTCTATCCCAATGGCAGATTCACTGTGTGAGTTTATTGTACAAGCAACGTCTGTTGGAAACTCTTGACCGAATATCAAATTCAACTGTATTTCCAGCTCATCATTTTAAGAAACGGAATGTTTTCCAGATTTCTTGCCATTTTATTTAAGTCCGAAAAAGTCATATTTCAGTTTTTAAAAACTAGACTGTGGGATCATCTTGATGTCATCTTCAATAGGTGATAAGTTTGCATTGCCTTATGGACACCAAATAGCATTTATTGAACACCTGAATACATTTACTTTTTAGCAAAACTCTTAAAGAGTAGATTCAGACAAGATCTAAGCCCTTCATGAGCACACATATGAAATAGACGGCACGTATAAGTGCAAGAGGCCGCGCAGTGCACGAACAGTTACAGCAGCACAGAGAGACCACGTTTAAATCAAGGAGAGCTGGGAAGTAGCACAGAGTCTGCAGCCAAATCATTAAAGCCCCCTGTCTCAGAGACTCAAAACATGCGTGGAAAATGAGGGAGAAAGGATCAGAGAAACAACAGCAGCAGCATCCAAACAAAGGAAGTGGAACAACCCCTACCGTAAACGCTGAAAAGCATCAGGAAGACAAAAGACCCACTAGAATTAGTACTTGGCTTCTGCGCTCTGCACCCAGGAACTGTGCAGGGGCGAGGACCAGATCAGTAGGTAATTTATGAAAAACCAAATACAGCTGGAGGGAGTCAGATGAGTGTTGGTCAACATGTAGGGGGAAAGTCAGCAAGTATTCCTCCAGGGTGGGGGCTCTTCCACACATGCACCGTCTCGTGTCATTCTCCAGCAGGGCGACTGCCAGCCCACCGATGAGGAAAGGCACCCTTTCTGGGCACACTCAGCTCTATGGGCACAAAGTTTAGCGAGTGAGTGGCACCTTTGTGCAAAGAAAAAGGCCTTTTGTCTGAGCAGAAGCAACCCCGTAACAGGGCACACAGCTCAGAGTACACTGGATTTCAGCCCATTGTCCTCTCACTAGGCACCTTGTGTAGTGAAAAACCACATGACTGCCCCCCAAGGAAGGGAAGAGCTAGCAGGAGTGGGCATTTTGGCTTTGCAGCTAGGAGGGAGGCCAGTGATGAGAAAGAGTGACTATAAATCCCCAGAACAAGTTGTCTCCAACAGTATCGTCTGAGGGCTGGTACCCTGGACGCGAGTCTTGTTACCCGAGAGGGTGGGGTGTATTGACAGTGGTGATTGGATTTTATGACAACCCCCCACCCTTACTTTTTTCTTTGTCTATAATGTCCGAAACTACTGGGCTTGAGCTCACGCTGCCTACTCAAAGGCGTATCCAGTTTCCAAGGACAGTGCTCTTCAGTGTGGATTGTTCCGTCAAATGGTAAACTCAGGTTTTTACTCAGATAGAGATGGTCAGCCTTGGGAGTAACCTCCCCGCCTTCACTCCCATCTTTCCAGAAGTTGCTCCTCCTCTCCTCTCAGCCAGAGAAGAAAAATGGGCGAAACCACTGCCTCTGGGCCTTACTCCTCAGTGGGAGCCGGGAGCTGAAGGCAGGGCTTCCGGCCGCCCATTTCCCCTCTCTTCAGTTGGTTCTTGTGTTGGTACTTTGTTCCACCTTTTCTGTCTTTCTGAGGGTAGCAAATTCCTGACTTTCATCTTATTGCTCAAGAGAGAAGCACTCCGCTGGGAGACCAGGTGGAAGAGGTTCAGAAGACCACCTACCCTGGAACTGGGCACCCACCAGCTGCTGTGCCAGTCCCCAAAAGATGAAAAGAAACTGCCTGCAAATGTAACAAATACTACAGAAAAAAAAGAGTAGATATAGAACCCATTCTGAAAGAAAATTTACCTTAGGGAATAGAACATCCTCCCCATCAAATGCCCTACACTCTAAAAGAAATTAAAGAGAAAAGGAACCAATGAAAAAAGAAGTCAAAGACAAAATAAAACAATTTAACAAAATAGAAAGGAAACTTAGAGCTAAGAAAACAAGTTTCATAAATTAGAAACAGCAAAGAACGCACTGTATACAGCTAAAAATTGCATTGCTGACACGCAGGGAAAGCTTGAGATAGTTCAGTCGAGAACTTACTGGGCTTCGACTAGACATGCCAGACACTGTTCCGGCGCGGTGGCGGGGACGAATCCTAACTTCCCTGTCCTTACGGAGCTCGTGTTCTCACTGGGGCTGGGGTGGGGGCGGCATGTGGTGATGCTGAGTGCTGGGAAGACAAGTGAGGCAGGACGAGGGGCAAAGGGGCAAAGGCCATTAGGTTTGCTATGGCCGTGGGAAGGCCTCTGATCAGGTGACTTCTGGTCAGAAGCATAATCACAGTAAATACAGACGGCAAAGAATGGAGATGGGGGTGGACACGGTGGATCCAACATAAAGAAAATCGGTAGGTAGAAAAGGCTACTATTGGCGCAGGAAAGAAAAGTCAAAGGTATGATAAAGTTTTCCCTGGACAGAGAACTCAATCTGCAAATAAAGAGAACACACCATGTTCTAGAAATATCTGACACAGAATGAGCAACATTGGAACATATGTTGGAGAAGTTACTTGGAGAAGTTCAAGCCAAGAAAAAAAATAGTCATCTTCTAGCACGCAACTTCCCATCAGTTCAGTGTCGCACAAGTGTGACCTGAGTTTTTTTTCCAACCAGTTTATAAAGGCAAATGAAGAATTCTTAAATACGCAAGGACTCGGCAATCATTACAGCTCTGAGTCTTTCTCGAAAATAGTATTTGACTAAATCCAGTCGTCCGAGAGAAACAATGCGAAGAGTGTAGTAACGGAGAAGACATGATACACAGAACTACTTGTGAACCATGAATCCATCAAAATATAAAATTAGGAGTAAACGACAATGAGGTTTACAGTGACGGCAAAGTATGTAAAGACGACTTGGAAGACAAGCTTCACAGTTCAAAATAATGCGACTAACGGGCTGGGACAAAGCCCTAGAGCTTGTCGATAACTCAGCAGGGGCTGAGAAGGAAGGGCGAGTGAGCTAATCTCCTTGTCATTTACAGCAAGAAGTCAGTATTCACTTTATTTTTTAAAGTTAATAAATCAAGAAATAAAACATTTTTTAACGTTTATCATTTAAAGTACAAAAGTGGCCAGGCAAAGTGGTATGCACCCTCACTGCTTTGGAGGCCAAGGTGGGAGGATCACTTGAGCCCAGGAA